TGAAGATTCCTCCGTTGAGTGTTCCCTCGACGGCCCTTGTCGACCAAACCCGGCAAGAACTGAACGACTACGCTACTGAGATCTACGAATGGATCTCTCTTGTTCGTCTAGAGAGTCCTCGAGTCAATCTTCTCGACAATATCGACCCATATCTATCCACCTATGCCATACCAGGCGATCCCTCAGAGACCAACGAAGGTCGATTGAGTAAGATCAGCTGGCGGGGATTTATTTCGCCGGACTGGGTTTTGAACACTTTAGCGGAGTTGATCAAAACGCTTCCACCAAAAGCGTGGTTTTCATTGAGCACCACGCCATTTAGTCGAGTTGCTATTGGGTATGGTGCGGATTGCACCATTATGAGACCACCAAGCAGCCCAGGAGAATACGTTCTTTGGGAGATCAAGGGGCACGAATGAACACGCGATTTCGGGTTGTCATTGCAACCGAAGAGACATATCTTGCTACACTCAGCCTTGACGGGGTCGGACATTGCGACCACCGAGGTTTCCATCAGAAATTGCGTCTTGGACAAGCTCTCTAAGCGCGGCTTGACCCTCCTCGCTATGAAAATCTTCGCGCTGTGCCAGCTCCTCTATCCTCCTTCTGAACTCAGGGTCGACTTCGCTCTCGTCGGTTTCGGCTGGATTGACGGCGCTGACAGAAAAGTTGAGCCCTTCAGGTAAGGGTGGTATGCCATTGCTATCTTGCACAGGTTCACCATTGGCCCCATTTAGTAGATCTCGAGCCCGCTCTGCTTCTTTAATCTTGAGATACTCGGCAACGTCTGGAAAGTCGTCCTCTTCGGTGATCTTCTGACGAGCAGTGCAACCGTCAGATCCTTTGATCATGACCTCGGCGCCGAGTTCCTCGATAAGAACTTTGGCAGCGTCGACTGTCTCAACAACAAATAAGGCAGTCTCCTCATCTTCGTCGCGAAGGTTAACATCGACCTTGAACTCCCGGACAAGGGTACGAAGAAGGTCCAAATGGTTATAACTGGCGGCAGCGTGGATTAGTGAATAGCCGTGTTCATCTTGTTGGCTGGCTAGGGCTGGATTTTCGCGAAGGAGGGGCAGAAGAGCCGGACTATTATCAGCGGCGAGAAGGAACTGATTTGGAGGCATCGCGGTGGTTCTGGGAAATCTTGGTGGCCTCAAGTCATCAACTGTCAGGTTGGATAGAAGGGACGAACTACAATAAGATAGCCGAACTTTTTCTTGGAGGGGCTCACCGTGTGACGCATGGTCAAATACCTACCCCGCCAAGCCCCCGCCAAAGGGCTCATACTGGTTAGCGAGGAATTACAGCGCTGTTCTAAAAAAGAAATTACTTTCTTGGGATTAGACTCAAAGGCATTGCGCCGCACCAAAAGCGGCTAGCAATCACGTTAGAATGTCACTTTTTCTGCCAGGCACCTTAGCATTAACTAATGTCTTCGCCAAAAGAGAGCACATGGCGATGATTCATTCTTAAGGAAGTGCCTCCCTACCTCTTCAGCTTGGTCTCTGCAACTCCTTTGCCATTCCTTTGACAACAAGGTAACTGCCTACCTACTGCCTACATGGACTGTCCCAGTCCCGGCAAATAAAAGGGTAGTGCGAGTGACTCATGCGGGCAGCTCTCGCCTCCCTGCACAAGAGGTTGTAATCCTTTTTGCTTCTTTTCCAGCTCGCACAGTCTTGGTAGTCTATGTTGTGTAGTGTGCATCTTGCACTGCCAGCAGGCTTCATATAAATAAAGCCATCTTTGTATTCCATCTCATCTGTTCCACCATCCCCGCCTCCATATAACAAACGAGTAAATAGCGAGGACAAATAGCCAGCTGACTCGTTACTACACTGACAGCTTACTTCTTCGTTCTACATCTGTCATACCCCGGAGGAGTAGGCTCATTGTTGAGGCGTCGAGAGTTCATCACGCTTACCTGGCCACACAACCCAGATTACCACCTTCTAGGGTTTTCGATTCTTACCCCGACCACCAGTTCACCATGGATCTTTCAAAGGCTCCTTACTGTGAGCAGGACCCCCAGCAGAACTCCCAACTCGTTCGCTCTCTGAACGACGGGACCAACAAGGCAAGTAGGGGGTTTAAGGTGAAGAAAACGACTTTCAAGATCACCGGATCGCCAGACGGCCTTAGTGTTGACTCATGGCGCTTTCAAGACTGGGATTACAAGAAACCTAATCTACCGACCTATGCGCGCGGTCTTTTCACCACCAGGAATCGCCATAATGATTATGAGATCGCCGTGAGAGGCTATGACAAATTCTTCAATGTCGGCGAGGTTTCTGATACCAAGTGGGAGAACATTAGGCGCAAGACGCGAGGCCCCTACGAGCTCACTTTGAAAGAGAACGGTTGCATCATCTTCATTAGCGGCTTAGAAGATGGAACCCTACTTGTTTGCAGCAAGCATTCCACTGGAGACCGGAGTGACGTCGAGGTGAGCCATGCCAGTGCTGGTGAGAGATGGGTGGACAAACAACTGGCCACCATTGGCAAAACCAGAGAAGAATTTGCTCGGGAGTTACGGGGTAGGAATGTCACAGCAGTTGCTGAACTGTGCGACGATGACTTTGAGGAGCACATTTTGGCTTACGGTCCGGATAAGGCCGGCCTGTACCTTCACGGCATCAACGTCAACATTCCAGAGTTCATGACATATCCCAGCGGCCTTGTGCAAAAATTCGCAGATGAGTGGGGTTTTCGCAAGGTTGGGCTGCAAGTCTTTGATGATATAGACACCGTCAAGAATTTCTTGGAGGAGGTTGCTGAATCTGGTGCACACGAGGGCCGAGACGTTGAAGGGTTTGTCATACGCTGCGGACTGGCATCTGATGTGGGACAAACGAAGTACATCGACTGGTTCTTCAAATACAAATTCGAAGAGCCGTACTTAATGTACCGGCAATGGAGAGAATGCACGAAAGCCCTTATTGCTGGGAAGCCTCCCAAGTTCAAGAAGCATGCCAAAATCACCGAGGATTACTTGTTATATGCTCGCCAAAGATTAGCCAAAGATCCGAAATTAGCCAAGCTTTACAACCAAAATCACGGCATCATCTCTCTTCGGGACGACTTTCTAGCGCATAAGAACCTAAAAGGGTCCGACGCTGCAAACTTTGAGAACGTATTTGGAAATGATACTTCGAGCGTGTCGGACGACGTTGTTCTTGTACCAATTGCCACAATTGGATGCGGCAAAACCACCGTCGGGATAGCGTTAACCCAACTATTCGGTTGGGGTATCATCCAGAACGACAATATCCAGGGCAAGGGTCGTCCCGCTAGAATGGTCCAGGCTGTCTTGTCTTCTTTAATGGAGCATCCCGTCGTTATTGCTGACCGGAATAACTCTGAACGTCGAGAGCGAGAGCAAATCATTAAAGACGTCCTAACGCAGCACAAGAACGCCCGACTCGTAGCTCTGAATTTCGCCCATGGCAATATTGATGAGGTAAGAAGAGTTACAAGAGAGCGTGTACTGAAACGTGGCGATAATCATCAAACTATCCAAGCGGCATCAGATGAAAATAAGGTCATTGGTATTATGGAGAATTTCATACACAGATTCCAGCCTTGCGACCCGGAAAGCAGCCCCGATTATGGTTTCGATTTCGTTATCGACCTCGACCCTGCTCAGGGTAGTCGCGTGAACGTTGAGAAAGTGGTCATTGAGCTCCGCAAGAAATATCCATTGCTGATTCCGGACATGCCAAGTGCGGAAGATATGGATATGGCTGTCAAGCATGCCATCGAGGACTACACACCGAGCATAAAACATCAGATACCTGATCGCACGAGTAAAAGGGATCAAAAGCGACAAGAGACTCAACAATCACATGACCCTAAAAAGAAAAAATCGCTCGAGTATATGTCGATCTCAGTTCCCGCTAAAGAAGTCAACGTGGCACTCGAGTCGGCTTTCAAGGGCGTGGGTGCAGCAACGCAGCGATTTTACAAGCAGCTCCAGCAGACACGGCGCATCCAGCCTCTTTTTCACGTCACACTTATGCACAAGGCCAGCGCTAAGCAATACCCCGAACTATGGCAGCGTTACACTACCCTTGAAGCCGAGAGCCAGTCTGTAGATAACAAGGTCGGGGAGTGCGAGGTTATGCTTGAGCGTGTCGTCTTCGACGACCGCATAATGGCTATTGTGGTGCGGCTACTAGATCAAGAAGACACATGGACTTGTGTCAACAAGGTGGCACATATCACTGTGGGCACACGTGATGACTCGGTCAAACCTAAGGAAAGTAACGACTTACTGGCTCGGTGGCTTGATGTTGGGAGCGGGGACAATACTGGCATCGGTGAGCAGCTCATTGAGGGAAAGCCGACGCTAAAAGGAACTGTTCGTGGAGTACTGTCTAGATAGGATGATGGTCAGTCAGGGCGAAGGGGTTATCGGCGTTTCAGGGGACGAGGTGCTCGTTAAACAGAGCAAAAACTGGGAAGGCTGGTGGGATGTTATCGTATGTGTTATGTAGCGATAGGAATTAGTTGCTAGCATCTACCATACTAAATTCGCCTCAATATCCATCGTACTGATGTTGTGATACCTAAGCTTGGAGAATGTTCATCACAATGTTCGTATAGCAAGCTCTAAGTGGATGTTTATTTACTATCAGCCTTAAAAGCACAGAATCCATGTATAAAGCCGCTTCTCAAATCAAGTTAAACGTTAAATTAGTATTGTTAGGCACTGATTTACATTCGCATTATAACTGGGCCGTCCCCAACTTTCTGTCTTCTCGGCCCGCAGCTAATGCTCTTAGCAGAGTACGTCTGATTGATGGCAAATAATAAGATGAAATATACAAGATGTTCACGACGGACACCTAATCTACCTATATACCAAGCGCATAAGTTAGTCAAGAACCTATTAGCGCGTATAGGCAACGCAATATTCCTTACAACTCCACCAAACTAAATCGCGAGTGGAATAGTCCTCGATACAACGCTGGCAAAATCACACAAAAACAATAAAATCTCGATTGGTCTAGTGGTCAGGATACCTGCTTGTCATTCCAACTAATTCGGTTCACGTTGTGAATTCGTCAACTAGGAGCAAACCGCAGGTGGCCGGGGTTCGATTCCCCGATCGAGAGTTGCTGTTTCTTTTTTGTCCGCTTGCTTGTCTCTATCGTAATTAATCCATTGATGTTTCTTTCAGGGCGGCTACGGTGCCAAGTCTCGGGACATCATCAGCACATTAAAAATATCTAGGTAGCTGCCAATGTATAATGCAGGAGACGAATGTATTCATATTCTAATTCTAAGTAGATTATTCATTACCGTGACACAAACTGTGAGAATAAGGAAATTTGAACAAGTATCAAATTACTACCTAGCTTGGATATCTCTGCATGCTGAACACCGTTATTAAATCTCACCCGCAACTCATCAACACGAACTTCCATTTTTCCGTATTACAATTTCACTAGGGTTATATGGGTAGACTATTCGTAACTTCAGTGAAGGCACTCCATTGTTTCCAAGCTTCGCCACTTTTAATTGTCCACCTTGCTCTCCTGACTCCCTCCTTCCAGCGTCCGTTACCGGGTCCTCTCTCCGTGATAACATTTCCATCGTCACCAGGGCCCATGTCACTCATATCAGCTTCGCAGATACCCGAGACAACAAACAGAGCCGCTGTGTTCATCAGCACAAACTCGAGGATGGGATCATCGTCGGGTAGTTCGTTCTGTAGAATCTTACGCAGAATTTCTGCGTTTTCGTGAGGTTCTTTGCCAGGAGAAACAGTGTGAAGCGGATGTGCACTAAGCCCAAAGTCTTTAGGCTCGATCAAAAAATGCTCGACTTCTACACCGTTACCACCCTCAACCAACTGCCAGCAGAGAGTAGGGCCAGCGCATGAAATCTCGTCGAGCTGCTCTTGGCCGCAAACTACTAACCCCTTCTTTGAGCCAGCTAACCGTAAAGCCTCGGCAAATACGGAGCCTAGGTCGTCTCGCGCAACGCCCAACATACGTGCTTCGATAGCGTCGTTGAGTGGGTTACTCAAAGGGCCTAAGAGATTGAAGATGGTGCGCCACCCTATCTCTTTACGAATGGAAGCTACATGCCTCATACCCGGGTGGAAGATTGGAGCGAACAGAAATGCGTAATTGGTGGACTGGTAAACAGTAGAGATAGTGTCGGGGGTGATACGGGCAAGCTGGGCCGGCTTTGGTTGCATATTCATTAGCAAGTCGGCAGAGCCAGATTTTGAGGTTGATGCGCGGTTGCCATGCTTGGCGAGGAGAAGCAGAGACGAGCCGAGGATGGAAGACGTTGTAGAGATGTTGAAAGTGTGGTGAGAATCGCCTCCTGTGCCAACGATGTCGCACTACACAATAAGTTAGGATACGGTTTTTGAGTTCCTGCACCAATCTTCGGTAGAACACTTTCAAAGAAAACCTACCAATCCACCCGAATATTTCCCTTCCGGCCGCCGTTTGCTTGCTATGGCATTCTCCAAACTCTGGTAGTCAATCTTGGCCGCATGACGGCGCATAGCGGCCGCAGCTTCAGCCAAAACATCGGCACGACGGTCCCAGCCCGTGAAATGTAGAGCCGTCAGGAGCGAGCCCGTTTGAACAGGGCTTAGCTGGTTGACGAAGATCAGCGAGATGGCCTCGGCTATCTCATAGGCTGTTACATTCTCCTTTTCAGGATCCGGCCACAAACGCTGAAGCAAAGAGCGAATGTCGGTCACAGCTTTCTGGTCTTGCGTTGCAGCCGCCATGTTGTCCAAGATGCCGAGTTCGGCGAGGATGTTCTCAGCGAGTTTCCGGTGAGCTGTCACCAAACTGCTATAGAATTAGTTGGGTTGAGGAGGATATGAGATTAAGGCTGAGAGGTTCATATAATTATACATACCTATCCAAGATAACTCAATTGGGCTTGTAGTCTTCCAGGTTTGAATGTTAGACTCATGTCTCGTTGCCCCGCCATCATTGTCATTCCAAGATCGATTGGAGGGGCAGCAGGGACAGGGGTAGTGGGAGAAGCCAGAGAGCTTTATCAAATGTTATCGGACAGTCATCGATTTGGGGTTGCTTAACCTCCGACCTCCGACCGTCTAACACCGGGACCTAAACCCATCCTTGGTCCGGTTAAGCAATTGGTCCCACTTATTTTCACTTCAGCTTTTTTGCGACAAGGCCGATGGCTACTTAATTAGTCTGGTAGTCTGTAGCCAAACGCAACGGCTATCACGCTCACCAACCCGACGACACCGACGACGGCACAAGGGCCGAGGCTGTCGAGGTAGAGGAGGACCGAAAATTCAAATCCAGTTTCGACTCGTCGAATTGCCCGCAATGCCGCCGCGGCTCAATTGCTCTGCGCGCAGCAGCGTAGGGCGAGCTCTGCAGCGAACCACGACAAGAGCAGCCAGAGTGCCAGCCCTTACAGTTCAGAATGCGACAAGGGTTGCTTCAAGGCATTATGCAATAGCGAGCTCCCCGGTGCCCCTTGGTGCTCTAAGGTTACCCGACGACTATATCCCTCCAACTCAACCTCCAAGTGCTCGACGGCCCGAGCAGAGGAAGGCCCAGCTTCTTCGCTCATATACGGCGATGTTGCGGTCGACACCTTTAATGCTCTTCTTCCAACACAATAACCTCACTGCCGTGGAATGGGCCGCCGTAAGGCGAGAGTTGCGTGCCGCCCTGGCAGAGGTTCCGGCGCCCCCTGCTGGGCTTGACGGTACTGTCCCCGTCGATATCACATCGAGTATTGAGTTGCAGGTGTTGCGCACACGCATGTTCAACGTCGCTTGCAAGATTGTCGACTACTTCAAACCCGAGGACCAGGTTGAAAGGTCGAACGCGTACACGCACGATCTGTCCAAGACAGCCTACGAGTCGATCAAGAGTGCTACCGCGGACGAGTCGTCCACCTATAGCCAGCTCAGCCCCTTAATCATAGGGCCCGTCGCCGCCGTAACTTTCCCCTCAGTCTCGCCGGCGCACTTGGCAGCCGTGCTTAAGGTCCTCTCGCCGTCACCCCCGGCGTTCCCTGCCCCTACGCGGAAGAAGAATCCAGGATATTACGAACCCATTGCCCAGAGCGGATTCCAGAAACTCATCCTTGTCGGAGGCAGAATAGAGGACAAGGCATTCGACCTCGACGGAGTTAAATGGGTTGGTGGCATCCAGGGCGGTCTGGATGGACTACGGGCACAGCTCGTTTCCCTGTTACAGAATGCCGGCCTTGGTCTTACAACAGCTTTGGAGGGTCACAGCAAGGGGTTATGGCTGGCTCTCGAGGGCAGACGGACACAGCTGGAGGAAGAATCCAACGGGGGCAAGAAGGAGGGCGAGGCCGAGAAAGAGGCCAACGCCTAGACGTCGTGTACTATTCACCCGTATATGCTACAAAGGGATGTAAAACAGTATATCTAGAGCAGACAATGTATATGAACTTACGAAAGCCAAGGTGCATCTACCTAAACAAGACTGACCAACAGCCCTGCCATTAGCTATTGACTTTCGCTTAATTTTTTTTGGTGCATAACCTCGCATCATGTATGCCAGGTGGTATCTAATGTTCAGCTGGAAATGTTGATAAATTAACGGCCATGGATCTTTGCATAAATCATTATAAGTGCGCTGCAAGGATGCGCTAAATTGGACCCTGCAGATCACTACCGCGGCCACTTGTTTTCGCCAAGCCAAAGCTCAGCTTGCTTGTCGCATTTGGAGCTGAGAAGCCTACGACAACTCTCAACTTTCAAAAAGTTCTTTCCCCATCTACGTGCAGCAAGCCATCAATAACTCGTGGCTCCGCCAACGATCACCTCCGTCGACGAGGGCCGACCAAGCAAATAAACGAAAGCCAGGATCAAGTCAACGCCCGAGTCGAGCGGTCGAGAGCCCCTCCCTCGATCCCTCACTTCGCCCGGACAGCAGCAGGCAGCGGTCGAGACCCGCAGAACCCAACGCAAGGAGCCGCTGGCTCCCCCCATCGAGATGGATTTCGCGCCATACCAAAGCTCGCCGCCCGAGAATAACCGGCCGTTCTCTCCGCCCGCGGCCGAGGGCTTTGCGTCGCCGCGCGCCTCGCTTGATCGTCGGCAGTCCTTCAGCCCTACCCAGCGCAACTTCGCCGCCTCTTCTCCCCCGCCGCTACAACATCCGCAGCCGCAGCGCTCGTGGCACGCCGGATATGCTTCCGAGGACGGCTTAGGCGTGGGCGTGGGCGGGGGCGGAGGCGGAGGCGGATTTGGGTTGGGAGGAGGAGGAGGTGGAGGTGGAGGGTTCGTCAGCGAGTTCGATACTAGCCTGGGCTTACGGCTTGACTACGAGGCTGTGCTTGCGTATATCGGGATACCGCCGCTCGGCGCCATCATACTACTGATCCTGGAAAGGAAAAGTGATTATGTTAGGTAAGTGTGGTTCGAAAGCTCTCTCTCTCTCTCTCTCTTTTAGGCCGGAGAACTCCCGCTGTGTCGACCTGCCTGAGGTTTTTCTATTCCAGCGAAGAGAGGAAGGAAGGTCTCGGGAGGGGTAATCAGATTTTTAAGTGCCTAAGGTCCGAAGCTAACGTCATGACGCCAGATTTCACGCGTGGCAGTCCAGTCTGGTCTTCACTGTCATGTTCGTCGTCCATCTCCTGTTCTCCTGGTCGAGGTTCCTCAGCTGGGTCATCGTGCTGGGAGATCTGGCTCTAATCGGGTTCCTTGCGCTTCATGCGTACCGGGACGCGGATACACTTGATAGGTGAGTGACTAGTCCATCTGTCGTGCTAGATACGAGATTAAAGCGCGGATCTCAATTTCTAACTTGATGGGTTAGATTTGAAGTGCCCATTTTCGGAAGTATAGCGAGTCGTATTCTCGACGATGAGTAGAAATGTCTGAATGAACTTGCTTAGTTCGGGGGGCAACTATAGATGGGGTATTGCATGGAATCTTATACTAACTCGTCTATTTCTGCTATAATCAAGCCACTTGAGAAGCATGGCTTGTAGGTGGTGGTGCAATGATGCAACGGGCGATACCCCAACAGTATCGACGCATACAGAATCATATGTAATGTGACGAACTGAGTTTACAAATTACGGCAATTAGTCTGTGGATAATGCTTTAATGGAATGTGTT